TTATTTTTTACTGACAGATACAAGACTTGTAGAGTTTATGGTTTGTTTATATTGTCAGATACATGTCTTATAGAGTTTATGGTTTGTTTTTACTGTCAGATACATGTCTTATAGAGTTTATGGTTTGCTTTTATTGTCAGATACATGTCTTATAGGGTTTATAGTTTGTTTTTACTGTCAGATGCATGACTTATAGAGTATAGGGTTTGTTTGTTTTGCCAGATATATATCTTAGACACTGTGACAAGACATACAAGACATAGTGTAGTTAGAAAGTAGCAGTGTGGTTAGAGAGAGTGAGATAGATACGTACCACCCCGAGTGGGGCGTACACAGTTGCTCTGCGAGTGTATATAGAGGATACCATACAAACGCAACAGATACTACGCACACCAACCGAATGCTGATATGTTAATAGCCGTGCTGTTATTGGGTTGCAAAGGACGTCTAAGGTAGTTCTATAGTACGATAATGAGCTGTACACGTCTCAACACAGAGAGTAATAGAAGTATATAGAAGTGGTTCATATGGATATATGTATGCATACATACAGTCATGAGCACTACAAGTACAACAAGTAAATAAAAGTGGTTCATATTAATATACGAATGCATACATACAGTCGTGAGTACTACAAGTATATAAGAGTACTTCATATGGATATATGTATACATACATAAGTCACGGAGTATATGGAGAAGACACATCTCTATAACATTTAATATGAACACAACATATCTCTAAAACATAAACTATACAGAATACTTATCTTTACATATACTGTGCACAACACACGTCTCTGTACAATGAAAACCACAGAACACGCGCGTCTGCGAGAAGATATTGGAAGCTTCCTCTCTTTCTCCATACTCTCCATAGGCGCTACTCAAAGGAATATATACATCGAGTGCGAGTAGACTACAATGCTGGGCACACGCTGATTACTCAACATTTCAATACACAGCCCCTTCAGCAACTGCTATATATATATATACATATATATATATATATATATTTCTGTCT